GAGTTTTCCTTCCTCCCACCTCAGCATGATATTGCAATAGCAAGCGCAAAGACACCACAAGCCAATGTTCACATCCACCAGTGTCTCTCACTCCTTCTTCTCCCGTCTGCCTGCTGGCCCCACTGCTCTGCGCACAGGTTCCGGGACCCAAAGTAGCAGCTGGGTAAGCTCGTCTAGTCACCTCAAATCGCGAAATAACAAATCCTCCTCCCACTCCCCCCCTTTGTTTGACCCCATGTTCTGCTACCATCTCCTCTCCTTTCTGAAACCCTTCTTGGCCCTCACGTCATCTATGGACTGGATTCCTCTCGGTTTGTTTTTGGGTGCTCGCAGCGGCAAGGCCGACAAGCGGGCTCATCACAACGCTTTGGAGCGCAAGCGCCGTGATCATATCAAAGATAGCTTTACGATGCTCCGTGACACCATTCCCTCCATTAACGGCGAAAAGGTTTGTGGTCATCTCACTCTACGAGCCGTCCGTGCCCGTCCACCCCCAGCACGTCCTGACGCACCGTGATTCTCTGGTCACAACATGCTTCGCTTGCCGTTCTCCGTTTTAAATTATAGCAAGTTCAAGTCTCAAGGGCACAAATCTTGAACAAGGCCACCGATTACATTCAATATATGCGCAAGCGCAACCAAGCACACCAGGTTTGTGCACAAGCTCAATGACACACCTTTCTCTTGTCTTCAATTGTGCTGTGCGGCTCAGCTCGTGGGCTTTGTTTGTCGCCTTGCGTGCGCGTACACACTCTGGTCTGACGAAACCCAAATCATGCGCGCAGGCGGAAATGGAGGAGCTTCGCCGACAAAACGCATCTTTGCAAATGCAAAGCCAGATGCAACATGCCAAATCGGAAGAAGACGGCGAGGACATTAAGCCTCATGTCGACCAATAAATGACCCATGTGTTTGTTTGCCCCTTGTCCCTCAGTGTCTTCAACCCAGTGTCCGCGTGGACTTGTTCATGGCTGGGCGAGCCATCTTGCCCTTGCTGTGTATGCCATCAAGTGCCTTGGGCCAGCCGGTCGTTGATTTTCGCATGCCTTTACTCCACTTTCTCATGCCACCAATGAGTTTGGTTGACTGAGCATGTGCTGTTTGTTTGTCGGCCCAATTCCAAGGGTGGGGTGGGGTGCCCGTCTCGGTGAGTCGAGGCGACTGTAACTCCCCGTTGTCTTGAAGTTGTGCTTGGCACGCGGAAACACCCGCTGACCATCAAGTAGCCTCCGTGGTTTTTTGTGTCTTGGCTTTCGTGTGGTACACCCTGCATCCCGGCGTGGTCTTCTTCTATTTCTGCCGTGGTTTGTTGCAGCCAGTTTTGCAAGTTGGTTTGCATCCGTCTGAAGAGTGCATTCCACCTCAATTAAACGGAGCAAATCAACTCCAACAAGAGTGTGTGTGAGGGCTCAGTCAAGTCCCAACAGCTTTACTTTAGTCCAACTCGTCGTCGTCATCTGTCACCACGCGCAGCACCAGGATGAGCAACACATGCCAAATGCCACAGGAACTGAGAAAGGGTGTAGCGTAGGAGGCAACGGACCTGCATAGCGCGAGGCAGCACGCTGGCCAAAACTCGAAGCCGCCGAGGCGGAAGGCGCACTGGCGCCTGGACGAGGTCCGCCACCCATGCCGCCCATGCCGCCCATCATACCACCAAGCAGGTCGTTGAGGCCACCCGCTCCTCCAGCACCGCCTGCAGCGCCGCCACCCATGAAGCGGCCCATGACTGCAAATACGAGTTGCGAATACGAGTTCAAACATCAGCAGGTGAGAGGAGCAGTGCCACTAGCCGTGTTGGCGGGGTGTCGCGTGGTCGCAGCTGGCACGTACGCTTTTGAAAGACACCTTGCACCTTGGGGTTGGACGGCGGGTTGGTCAAAATGCTCATGGGATTGTCCTTGATGGACACGAGGTAGGCCAACACATCCGGATCCTAACGCGCGCATGCGCGCCATGATAAAGCAACTGTGAACACGCACGTATGGACGGCAGTTCGCGTGGCACTTTGGAAGTCACACCACGTCTTTGGCGCCCACACATACCTTGAGCATTTCAACCACCTCTGGGTCCGTCATAAGGGATGCCAACATTGGGTTCTTGGTCAAGTTCTAAACCGGTGAAAGAAAGAGTGATTTGCGCGCACGGACACTCTCGCAGCCGGCAAACCACTACTCATCCAACACAATAGGTATAATATGGCCCTGGGCAAAGGACAAACGTTAAAGGTGGCTGCAAGCTCGGGATTCTCCTCCAAGGTCTCGCGCATGGGATGGTTCTCCATGCCGGGCTACACCACCACAAGCCAGGACATTGAACACGGCGGTGTGAGTATGGGCGAGATCATGGAAGCAACTGCCTGGAATGGCGTCTACTTCAGACAAAGTGTGACACACCGGCAGGTTGACTGCAACTTTGGGAGCCTGGGCATTCTTGCTGCGACGAAACTCTTGGATCTGTTGTGCACAGAGCGCAAGCCACCCGGTCCAGAGGCGCATGGTGAGCAACCTGCGCCTTGTAACCGCCAGAGCAACGCGGCTGTGGACTGGTCTTGGTTGGATCTTTACCTTGCGGACGTTTTCCTTGGCTTGCTTTAGCCACTCTGCAGTAGCTTCATCAAAGTCAATTTGATTGGCAGCAGCCAGGTACTTGACAGCATCGTCCCTAAGCAAAGCAGATTGACCATGAGCTTTGGATGTCACGGCTAGTAAAAGCAGCAGCGGCAGGGCTAAAGGTGGGACGCACCAGTGAGCCAGCATGGCGTGAGCCTTGCCCAGCCACTTGAGGGCTTGAGCCGAGTCGCTATTAAGGCTGAGGGCCGCGGCACCGTCCTGCACAGCATAAGAGGGCAACTTCATGGCAACATAGATGCGAGCACGGAGAGCATACGCGCGAGCTGAGGGAGCAGCCGCGATGGCGGCATTGATCTTCACCAAAGCCGCGGCTGGGTCCTCGCTCAGCAAGCGGCGCGCAGCAGAAAATTCAGCGTCGGCAATCTCTTGCTCTGCATCGGTGGCCACCTTGTCCGGCTGACCGGGCACGTAAGGGCCGGCCGCTGGCTCTTGAGACACAACATCGGTCAGATTCAGGTCGGCTGGCATCTCGGCCGACTCGGCATCCTGCTCCGAGGTGGCGGGGCTGTCATCCATGCCCAGGGGCACTTCAGGCTCTGGGGTCGATGTCGGGGGCAACGTGGCACCAAGAGAAAGGAGGTAGTCACGGAAAAAGTCAAACTCTGGCGCGTGCACCAACTGGGGCTGCGTCTGCAGCAGCTCCACCAGTGCTCGCATCTGTGCAACCAGCTTGCCGTCCATGGCTATCAAGCCCAACAACGGAGAATTCCAAAACCCCAAACTCATCAGTGC